AGGGATTTCCTGGTAGTTTTCCTAAGTGGTGGAAAACTCTTGAGAGTCGTGCGTCGCCAGCGCCACGGAGCTTGCCCATGGATGTTCCGACTCAGGCACAGTTGGTGGCCATCAAATTGACTTTCGCAGAACAAGTCCGACAGCTCGAAGTCGCTCTCATGGGTAAATTTTGCTCGATCGCTCGAAAAAATCGATTGCTGAATCCTCACAAGATTTTTCAGGACGTTCGTTCTCCCCCCTTGTGCACCCGTTGTTTTGCTTGATAATAGTGCCTTGGTCAAGATAGTGGAAGTAGACCCAACTGATATGTCTCTTACTCTGGAAAGACCTCTTCAGAGCTTGGACTGCAATGCACCAGTCTACACCTCCACTGCTTGTACTAATGTTCTCATGGCTGACACGGATAAAATTTGGGTTGAGGATGTGGCAGATTTTCAAGCAGGTGATCTTTTGCACCAGCCGCAGTTCATAGGATCCCTTGAAGATCTGTTTGCAGCTTTTTCGTCCGAATGGCAAAAACGGTGGGACAGACACCTTTACGCCCCGATCGATAAGTGGGATCCTTTAGTTGAATTCTTGACCGACCATGTAGCAAAAGGTGCCCCTATGGCCCTTCCCAAAATTACTCCTGAAGCCTGGTACCAGGCCCTCCGCCATAAGAAAAAGCGGTCCGCCAGAGGACCCGACAGCTGGGCAAGGGAGGATTTGATGCGAATGCCAAGAGACCTCACTATTGCTCTACTCGAGATCTTGGAGCAAGTGGAACAGGGTGCACCCTGGCCACTCTCCATGATCACCGGCATCATAAGTAGCTTGGAGAAAGTTCCAGGTGCTGGCAAGGTATCGCAATATAGACCCATCACTGTGTTTTCGATCATCTATAGGACTTGGTCATCTCTAAGATCGAAAGCCGCACTAGTCCACCTTTCGCAATTTGCCCCCAACAAGTGTTACGGCAACGTGCCAGGTAAGTGTGCGATAGATCTATGGCTGGCCATCCAAGCGGAGATCGAAGCTAGTAGAAGCACATCCGCCCCCATGACAGGGGTCATGGTCGATATCGTCAAGTGTTTTAATGGCCTACCAAGGCTGCCGATCTTTCAAGTATGTGCGCACTTAGGAGTAGCTGCCCCGATGCTTCAAGCCTGGTCTTCAGCTCTGCACCAAATGGAACGTAGGTTTTCCATTCGGGGGTCAGTCAGTCCGCCGTGTAGGTCGACAACAGGCTGTGCTGAAGGGGACTCCCTCTCAGTCATGGGGATGTTGAGCATCAACATTCTAATCGACCATTGGCTTGTTTATAAAATTCCTCAAGCACATCTTTGGACATATGTAGACAACATGGAAATCACCGCAAGTGATCCACGTGTGACGCTCCAAGGGTTGCATGCTTTGCAAAACATCATTGGCGCCCTGGATCTCCAACTTGACAATGAAAAGACATTTGTCTGGGGCACCACCCCGGAAGTCAGAAAAATCCTCTCTGAATCCCCGTATCCCATTGCCATGTGGGCGCGGGACCTTGGAGGTCATATTCAGTATTCCGCAGTGCCCACAAATTCCGTCATTGTCAATCGTATTCACAAGTTTAAAAATCGTTGGAAGCAATTTGCCAGATCACCAGCACCGCTGAAACAAAAGATTCATGCAGTTGCAAGTGTTGCATGGCCGAACGTCCTGCACGGGGTAAGCTCGGTTCATTTGAGTCCTGCATACATGGATGAACTTCGCACGGGTGCCATGCGCGGGTTGCAAGAACATGGGGTGGGGGTGTCACCGAGCATTCACCTTTCGCTCATCTTGCCTATCAAGTGTGATCCTGGTTTCTATGCAACATGGAAAACGATTTGTGATTCTCGGATGTTTCTTCCCAAAGATGAAAGTCATGCCCTCTTCAGCCATATCACCTCGAATATCAACACGGTTCGTCCGAAAGTAGGTCCTCGCAGTGTACTCTTGAATCGTTTGCATGATCTTTTGTGGCATTGGGATGGGAACACACTCAGAGATGAACTTGGGGACCCGGTGTGCCTTTGGGACACATGCATTCAGGAGCTTCGAGCCAAAGTCACTAGGGCTTGGCAGTTTCGCATTTTGACCATGAATAAAAATCGCAAAACCTTCGCAGGGTTTTGTCACACGAGCCCTCAGCTCACTACCATGGCTTTGCCCAACATGCCAAGTGATTTAGGCATTCTCAAAAAATGTTTAAATGGCAGTTTTTTCACAGCAGATCACCAAGAGCACATGGTGCAAAATGGCGACACCACTTGTCCTTTTTGTGATCAAGTTGACAGCCAAAGACATCGACACTGGGAATGCCCGAAACTCGAATCAGCTCGAAGTTTTTGCAGTCCGAAAATGAAAAGTGAAATCCTTTCCATGGACCCTGTCACATGGAATCATGGGTGGATCCCACGACCCAGTGGTCTCCATGCATGGCAATCGCACATATGTAATTTGCGTGATGAGACCTCGGTTTTGGATGAAGCCATCGTGCCAACGGACACTTGTGACATTTTCACAGATGGTAGTAGCAAGATGCCGGCGCACAAGTTGCTGCGATGGGCAGCGTGGGGTGTCGCCGTTTCCATGTCCATGGATGGCCCGTTTCTTCCATTGGCAAATGGCCTGGTCCCGGGCTTAGTGCAGACCATCTCCAGAGCAGAGTTGTATGCGGCCAAAGCAGCCCTCCTTTTTATCCACTCTAGACGTTCACATTTTCGCATTTGGATAGATAATTATCATGTATACCATGTCCTTCATGCAGCCGCTCATGCAAGCACAGAGGCTGAACTGAGTCAATCCAATCGCATCTTGAATCATGAGTTAGTTCATGAAGTCCAACTCTTGATGTTTCAGGTCAAGCATCTGTGCCGAGCGGTAGTGAAAGTGTGCAGTCATCAAGATCCCAGAGGGTCTGCAGACCCAGTTGAGCTGTGGGCTTGGGAGGGAAATAATGCAGCGGACAGATGTGCGGAACAGGCTTTCCTGGCCTACCCGCACACACATCAGCAATGGTTGAGACTCAAAGAAGAAACTCGTCACCTCGAGAAACTCAGAGACGTGCTGCATAAAGTGCTGATTCAAACAGGCCGTCTGGCCATGCAAGTAGTAGAAAAACACAAACCAGCTCCAGCTGACATCCTGGAGCATGGTTTTGCACCACCAATGCAGGTTGAGCAAACACCATGGACCCTTCCGTTAGATTTGCCCGAAGCCGCAAAATACCTGTGGATACCCGAATGGCCGCGTGTATGTCACTGGATACAAGATTTGCACACCGCAGGGCTGCCAGTCCGGAGATGGTGTTGGCAACAACTGTTCATTGACATTTGTTTACATGTAGGTTCCGTAGGTCCGTGGTACAACAAAAATAGTCATGGATGGCAAGGCCACGACACTTGCCCCAAGCACTCCTTTACCAAAAGAGTCAGATCATTTTTGACTTGGCTGAACAAAATTGCAGCAGCATGCCAAGCTCCGCTACCATTGATGTTGCAAAGACCCGAAAGCCATGCCATTAATTTCTGGCAACCATGCCTGTTTGTTCGCATTTCGACCGTGCGATCTCAGGCAGTCGATGAGTGGATGATGCGATGGAAGGGGACCTTTCGTCGCTACAGAGACTACCATGCAATCGAGGAGGTACCATGATCAGATGGTGGCTTTGGATGCATTTCGCCGGTTGACCACCTCAAGTACGCGCTGCTGTCTGCAGAGGTCACCATGACCCACTGCCGTCCTGCGTGATCGCCCGAAAAAGTTGCGAAAAAGTTGAGATGGTGTAGGGCTTCACTACTTTGGGTTTGTCTTGCTTGGGTTTCATTACTTTGGGGTTCTTTGGGCTTGTCTTGCCGGGGTTTCACTGGGTTTGCGGTCTCACTTCGTTTAGGGCTTGGCTTCGCGCTTCACTTCTTTAGGGATTCTTTTGGTTGGGTTTCTAGGGCTTCATGTCACTAGTCTTTACATGTTTTTATCGTGTCTTTGGGTTTGGCATCCGAACTTTGCTACTTCAGACTTTTGAGGGTTCGGCTGGCGGGTTCAGGTTCTTTAGTTTTTAGGGGTTCTTTGGCTTTGGCTTGCGAACTTTACTTCACTACTTTCATGATATTTTAAGGGTTTCTTTCAGTTTGGCTTGCGGGGTCTCTTTATTAGGGTCTCCGTGGCTGGGGCTTCACTTTCTTTATAGGATTTGTTTGGGTATGGCTTGTTCGCTTACTTCTTTCATGGCCGTCTCTATTTTAGGGTTTGTTGGGGGGGGCTGCGGGTGTTCGGGTCTGACTTCTTTCCTTTAGGCTTGGCTGACGGCTTGAGTTCTTCAGGGTTTCTTTGGCGTAGGGCTTCACTACGTAGGGTTTCCTTGGGCTTGTCTTGCTTGGGGTTCGCTGGGTTTGCGGGATTTTGCGGGTCTCAGTTCTTTATGGTTTCTGCAGGCTCGGCTTGGCGCTTCACTTCTTTAGGTTTTTTTTGGGTTGGTTTGGACGGGGCGTTGCAGGGTGTTCAGGGCTGACCTCTTTCAGGTTCTTTTAGGCTTGGCTGAGGGCTTGACTTGTTTAGGAGGGTTTCTTTGGCCTTGTCTTGCTTGGGCTTTAAGGTTTCTTTGGCCTTGTCTTGCTTGGGCTTTAAGGTTTCTCTGGGCTTGTCTTGCTTGGGCTTTAAGGTTTCTTTGGGCTTGTCTTGCTGGGGCTGAGGGCTTCACTTCTTTAGGATTTGGTTGTGTATGACCTGCAGCCTCTGATTCGAACTCGAACACTGTCTGTTTCTTTGGGAATCGCATACAGTGATACAGGGTCACAGGTTGACATGAGCCATCGCCAAACCACGCGCAATGCCTAATTCAGTCAGAAGCGGTCGTGCCTCTCGAGACTTGGGCTCACCCCTTGCGATCCTCTCTCTTGCTACCTTTCGCTCACCCCCTCCTGTCTCAAGTTCCGATGGACAGTTTTTGCTAGTGCAAAGCGCAGTGTTTCTTAACTTAGACATCGCATTGAAGTCAGGCACTGGAAGAGACACGAGCCAGCACAAGTGAGCTACGAAAGGACTGACATATAGATGATCCATGAGGTGATGATAGCTAAACTACACTGTAATATTGTCGGCGTTTCGTTCACTCTACTATGCTGTTTGTGTGAGCGGGCCGTTGCAGCTTTGCATTGGGTCCCAGGAGACAGCAGATGTGCAGGCGCACGTGGTGGACTTGCGCAAGGTGATGCCGATACTTTGTTCCAGTCACTTTGTTCCAGTCACTATGCGTCTATTGGTTGCTCAAGAATCCTCAAGATTCTTAGACTTAGACCTTTGGACATCGTTCATGGCAGGGTATGCTGGAGGCTCAAAGCAACATCAGTGAACTGCGCAGAGTGCGGACACCCAGAATGATTTTCAATGGTAACATGCATGTTGACATAAAGGTCCAGGAAGTTGAGTCCTAAATTCATTACGATTTGCAAGACTAACCTTGATCGTGCTGGTACGCTCTCAATTCGTGTGTAGCTGGTGAAGGTACGGACTCAACCCTGAACCCTAAGGTTGAGAGCATCCACAGTAGAGACATGTAGAGACTAGAAATGTCAGTCATTGAAGAATGTTGCAGTTATGATAGTGTGGTTATTGCTTCATGTTTCCTACAGACTTGCAGGAAATGGCCAAGAGTCGGGAAGGTCAGATGGCTGACGTCCGTCAGGAGGGGGCACTCGGATACTGTGCATGAGGATGTTTGATATGCGTATTACCGTTTATTGCAACAACAGTTTTCGAAGCCAGTGCAGCGGCACATTGCCAGTTGGCAGAGGAGTTGGAGAAGACACGCACCATAGCCGCTGAGCTACGAAAGGTGCCTGTAGAATCCCGCAAAGAGTTCGCATTTCAATGATTGAGTAAAGACCGGTCCCGCACGACTCGAGAAGTTTCAATTCAGTTGAGAGCGGGGAAGGCAATTGCACGTGCAATCACAACATCCAGAAATCCACTGCGTTCGCCCCGTTCACACCATCCACTTTGCACGATCTACGCATCATGTGAGTTTCTAGACAGGAAACAAAGTTGCTTAGTTCAAACATGTTCAAAAACATGCAACTAAATGCAGAGAGGGAATTGGATTGACTATATTAGATTTGCCATTGGATGCAGCTAGACCGTGGCAAGATAGATAGAGACATAGACACTAACTCTCTTGGACAGGGCGATCGAGAGGGAGAGATACAGAAAGAGAGGGAGGGAGTGAGGGAGGGAGGGAGAGTGAGACATAGATATAGGTTCCTGTGGTGGTTTTCATGTTCGCATGTACAAATGAAGAGGCACTTCGCTTGCATTGATTTCAGCGATTGGGTCGTGTCATTGCAGATTGTTGTCAAGTGTCGATACCTGGCGAAAGACTTAACATTTCAGAGGTGTTAGGGTTTGTCAGACTACAGCAATCCGTGCGTTCTCATGGACAGGACCTGTCTCTGACTTTCCAGCTTGAGGTGGCAAATCTTCACAAGGACCTCTCATGAGCTAGTCTAATACGATATATGTTATATGTGTGTGTCATGATTATATAAGTTTCTCACGCAGAAACTTCAGGACCTGCTGCAGAAAGAAGAGGGCCTCAATGGCGAGATTGCATTTGTGCAGGTGGATGAGTGGATGAATGCGATGTTGATGTTTGTTTTAAACAGAAATACTATCTTTTGGGGGGTAGGCCACTAGTAGAGGTGAGGTAGGTATTAGCTAGGGGTAGGTAGCTAGTAGCTTACTTAAGCTACTAGTATGGACACATCATAGCTCACGCTTCTTCAAGGAAGCTCCCCCGCCTGAGGGCAGGGGGGAGCTTCCTTGAAAAAGCGCTTGCAGTATTCATTTGGTTCCTAGATTACCCTTACTAAGTATCCTAGATTTTAGGGAAACTTATATATCCTGTTGTCCGGTATTTAGTGTTTAGCAGCGTCATTGCATTGAAGCACCTGCCCCTCTATCATGGTGCAAGGTGACGCAATGTGTTTCTATATCCGTTAGACTACTTGGAAAGTCCAACCTTCAAAGCTGCAGAGGTTGCTGGGAACAAAGGGCAGGAGCATGCCCCCTTCGGCAAGTGGGGCTATAGTTGATCATTGCCATCTTCAGCACAATATATATTATATATTAACCCCTTCTGTATATATATATATATTTGCAGTGCCACGTCACTATTACTTACTGTCAGTGCATTGGAGGCTAGATTGAAGGAGCAGCTTTCCAACGAGATCAGGAGCCTCAAACAGCATGCAAGACCTAATAGCAATGCCCTTTGTTACTAGTAGC